GAATATTATTTCAATCTGACTTTATTAAAATTATAGATAAAGCTTTGATAAGTGAATATATGTTTAGTAAATATGGAAAAAAAAATGATAAAACGTATGATCTATTAAAATATTTTAATGGGAGAATTTTTTTAGTAACACATGATAGTTATTTTCTTAGTCGTCTAACAATAATTTTTCGTTAATTTACGCATTCAAAGTTAATACATGAGAGGATCCCAAATATTTCTACATTTTCTAAAGAAAATTTACTATAAAGTCTTAAAAATATAAATAAAATTTATATATTTATATGTCGGTTTGGTTCGAGTTTTTTTACTCAATACCAAATCAAGTCAAATTAAACCTAGTCGGGTTTTTTAATCGATTTGGTTTGATTTTTCGGTTTGGTGCGATTTTCCGGTTCGGTTTGAACACTCCTAATCGGCCTATGTCCCACTTGTTTTGTTCTTCATTTGCTTTTTTTTTTTTTTTGAATAAGTTACAAACGAATGTAGGACATGGATGAGTTCAACTCTGATATCATATTATAATGATAAATATTATATTGATTTGAATTAGTGCTCCATGTGATTTGCTTCTCTATTGCTAAAACATCATATGCTTGTCATTCTTTGTGCAAGGCATGTTAGCAACACTATAAAGAGAGAAAAACAAAATTAAAGGTGGGGAATGCTTAAAATGATTGATTGAACTCAATTCCTTGCTTTTTCTCCTTTGTTTGAAAGTCGAAAGACCGTTTGCATGTGACATAGGAGATTTTTCTTTTTCTTTTTTTCTAACAGTGATAAACGGTCCAGTTCATGTGTACTTTGACTATCCGACAAGTATTTGATACAACACGTGTGTTGCACGTGTATCCCATGTCAACTAATAAAAACTTTTAAAAATAATTTTATGGTATTAAACTATACACGAGTGTGATGAGTAATACGAAATTTTAATGCAACAATATTTGACATCTTCTAAACATGTGGAGTTGATGCTGGTAAATTCAGTGTGACAATGTGTAATGAAATTAATTTTGATGTTGTTAGGTCCAAACATGTAATACACTCGTATCTCACACCTAATACTTTATTTGAAACAATGTTCTTGATTGAATTCTTGCAACCTTATTTTTTCAACTAAAACGACCAAGCATGACAACCCTGATTGAAGAGCTCTAGCCCTTAGTTCTTCAGCCACCTAGTAGTTCTACTATATTACGGTTGTCAAATGGAATTGACTAGCCCACCTAAATTTGTATAATATAGAAAGAAAATTAAATACAAATTAAAATTATTCAAATGTTAAACACATTAAGCATTTGCACAGGTTATCATTACCAAATCACTACAACAATTTATATTTTCCTTTAACATATATAAAAGACTATAATTTCCAAAATAGATTCGAATACTATTTTCACAAAATTTATAAATAATTATATATTGATGCTTATGTTATTTTAGAATATCTAAAGATAATTTAATAAATACGAAGCAGAAATAGCCACCTCAGAAAATTATAATTTTTAAAAAATCTTCCTAGAAATAAAACCACTAGAGAAATAAAAACAAATGTATACACACAAAAAAAAAGGAAGTAGTAGTGTAGTACTTTTTCCAACAAAATCTAAAAAAGCAATAAATATACATCATTTCAATTTTCATGTGCCAGATCTAGATTGTCAAGAAAAAATAGTTGTTAACACATCATTTTGGAGCAGGCCTATGTGTTGCAAGAGTTGCAAAACTTAAACTATGGCAAAAATAATTGCTTACTTAGATGGTTAAAAGAGTTGATGCATAAGCAAAATCAATAAAATTCATGACACGGACGCATAATTGAGCATCGCATTGAATATAAGAAGAAGAAGAAGAAGAAGAAGAAGAGAACGTCAATGGTTCAATATTTTGAATCTGTAATCCAACATTTGTTCTTTGAATGTGTATACTCACAGCAGTGCTTAAGGGAGGTGTTAAACTGGATGAGCATAGGTATACAAAAGACAGAGATAACAGAGATATGGAAAAGAGTGACCAGGCTACTCAAAGGAAAGAGATGCAGGGAAGTTGCTACTGCTATATTGGCTGCCTTGGTGTATTGGATATGGAAGGCTAGGAACACTGCTGTATGGGACTTCAAACTACCCACGGCTACCTACATACTAAGTCAGATTAAACAATAATGCAGACTGAGGAAGCTCACCTATTTGAAGAGCAAGACAAGTGTTCAAGAAAGAGAATGGATTGAGAAGATAATGCAGAAATAAAAGATTAGATAGATAGAAATAATAACGTTTTGATGACAAGGAATACATAGCTAATGTATATGTATATAGAAAGAAATAGGAGAAAAGAGGAAAGTACTGAGGAAAGTACTGAGGAAAAAGCTTGTGATAGTTTCGAGGTGATGAAATAAAAAAAATTCTTCACCAAAAAAATTATTAAAAATTTACTTGTGGAAGTTGAAAAGAACTTCCAAACATTGAATAGGTATCTGGACGATGAAAAGCAATTCTAAGGCATTGAATAGGCTGCTAAGTGACTACTGTAAGAAAATTATTCCACCTCTTTTCTATACTCATTTACCTCATTCATTGTTTTACAACTTAATTTATCATTTATTGGAAGGTAGGTTTTTGGTACAAAAATAATAAAGAAATTGTATTTAAATGAGGGGTAAAATAGTCATTCAGTTTTTATAGGCATTTTAGTAAAACAACTTTACCTAAAAGTCTTCACACATATAATATAGTATGACACCCAAAAGGCTAGCTATTGAGATGGGATAGCCCAAGGCTATATAAACCCCACATCAGCACTTTGTAATACCGGTGCGGGACTCAAGTCCCATTCCTTCCAATATACCATAATAAATCACCAAGCTTCGTATCTGTCGTTCTCGACGACTGTGCGAACGCTGCAATACCGGCATCACTCGACGGTTGTGCGAACGTGCAATTTGGGCGTCACAATCCAAGGCATGATGGGCACAAAGGGTGGTGGGTGGCTCTGATACCGTTGATACAACCTAGGGAGAACCACACCCCAAAAGCTAGCTATTGAGGTGGGAGAAACAAGGCTATATAAAGTTTACCTACCTAGACATTCTTTTTAAGTTTTAACTTAATTAAATTTGTAATCATCACGAAAAAAAAAATCTAACAAAGGCAAGCAATTATATAGTGCATTGGAGATCATTGCTTGGCAATTTCATGTGAAAATATACAAGGAATTCACCTATATGTGCCGAGGAACTGCCAAACTGCTTATATGATAGTCCTAAAAGTACAAGCACATTGATATAACTAGGCAAAAGGGGGAAGAGCAAAAGGAGAAAAAAGGGCACAAAGCTAATTGGTTACCTACTTCTTTTTCACCTTTGGGGAGCAGGCTTTACAAATGAGAAGTCATCTTCATTCCTAGTAGATTCTCCATTTGGAGGAACATGCACATGTATTTCTGTGTCATCATGATAAATCTGTGTAGTTGCAATGTCTGCACGATTCATCAGTGTTGTTGGATCATTTTCAAGGTTGGATGCTTCTTGATCGCTGTTGTAGCCCTGGAAACGTGAGGAGTGACCGGTAGTTTTGAATCGATGAAGAGCAGGGCCTGCCGGGTGTACAGGTGAGCTCATTGTGGACCTTGGACTTGCACAACCTAGTGTCCGCGTAGCCCCTTGCTCCCTTCCTCTTCTTCACAACCATATGCCACTTCTTTTGAAGTTTGCTCATCAAAGATTTGAGTTTTTCATATTGGATCCCATCTGCAAACATTAAAATTAATGGCCAATGCTTTATCTAAGTTAACAGCATATGGTATGAACTTATAATGTCCTGTCTTTCAATTATCAAATGCCCCTCTAGGCCTGAGTTACTTAAAGCAACATTATGTATTAAGGCAACTTTGTACTTGCAAAGTTGAAACCAAATGATATGCCCATCCTCTGGTTTACAAACATTACTTTTTAAAAATTGTATTGAAATGCAAACCTGAAATAAGGCAAAATGGATGAGGTGAAGCACCAGTTGCGGTCGACCAATAACCAAAAATATTTGTCCGAGCCTTGAACAAGAGGGATTCCTTGAACTACAGCGTGTCTCTCTGTAATGTCAATGGCCATCCTAGTCACAACAGCCTGAAGCTTTGTTCCAACAGCTTAAATGATCTGAGAAGATTTCACTATAAGAATTTCCCCTAGAATAACACAAGAAAACATTTCACCATCCTATTTTATATTCTACTTCATCAATTTTAACTTCAACATATACTAAATCTGTAAAAATAATTTTACATAAATAATTACAAGTAACTGTCTACAGTAATCCGTAGATTAGTAACCTAACTTGCATAACACAATAAGCGACGGATTACAACTGGTAAAACTGCACTGATAATGTAAACTAGATTGATCATTTAAAGCTAAGTCTTTTTTTCTTTTTCTAGACTAGAAAATTACTTGATCTAGCGCATGAACGAGACTCTGCCGGAGTTGTAGCCGGAGCACCGTCGGTTTTATGGGAAACTGCAGGGAACTCGCCGCACTTCCGGCACCGAGCAACCACGAGAATTTGACGACAAGAAGGGCACGAAGAGTGTGAACCCAACCAAGTATCAATACACTGAAGGTGAAAACTATGGCCACACTGCGGTAGCACACGGATCTCATCTCCCACCGCATACTCCGCCAGACAAATGGCACACTCCGCCGTGAACGGTGTACCTTTCGCCGTTGTACTGCTGGGATCATAAGTGAACTTAGGTAACGACTGCAACACTTTCTTCTTTAACCCTTTATTAGCCGACGACGACTGACCACCAGCTCCGCCGCCGGTTGCTCGCCGGAGCCAAGCGCATCTTGCAACAGCGATGAGCCCCACCACACAAATTAGTAAGCAAAGCAAAGCAGCTAGTATTACGACAAAGTCAGACTCCACTGCCACCGCAGATGGTGGCTCCGCCGTAGGCGTTGAAGGGGAAGTTGAAGAAGAGTTTGTGCTTAGCAGAAATCTAGCTGGGCGAGTCATAATTGAAAACAAATTCAACAACAACAATATAGAAGAACAACTGGGGACAATGGATGTAAAAGATGTGGTTGAAATGTCGGTAATTGATGTGAACTTAACAGCAGTGATAAAAACATATGAAAATGTCTCAAAGTCCGTAAGATATATATAGATATAAAATCTGAGGGGAGTGTTGAATGGAAGGTATTCAAGTCTACACATGTGGAGCAGAGAACAGATCCCTACTATTCTTACTACAAACACTACCAGCTATTTTATTTAATGATTAAAATAGAAAATAATTTGCGGTTTAGTTTAATCATGTAGGGTTACATGTTGATTAGCATCTTTAGATGAAAGATCAATTCAAATTTGAGTGGAGATAAAAGAACATACTATGTGTGATGTAGAATTAACCCAAATAGATGTAGAATATCATATTAGGAAAAAATTACTCTCCAATTTGAATTCACAGTTTTCTTCTTTCTTCTTCTTCTTATTTTAGAATAATTTTAAAACTACAAATTTTTTAACTCAAGGAAAGTAATTAATTATTAACAACACATAATGCATTATTTAAATTTTTTAAAATTAAAATTTAAAAAATTAGTTATTACCTAACTTAACTAACTTTGTCCCAATTTGCTATGCGGCCTATTGTGAGGTTGTCACTCGGCTTAATGTGGAGGCTTTTTTATCTTCTTTTAATAATATATAAATATAGATTAACAACACATAATGCATAATTTAAATTATTTAAAATTAAAATTAATGTTCAAAAAACTAATTATTATCTAATCTAAGCAACTTTGTCCTAAATTGCCAAGTGGCCTATTATGAGGTGACAACTTGGTTTAATGTGGAGGCTTTTTCCTCTCATTTTAATATATACATTTTACTATTTTGTCATAAATTTACTGATATTTTTAATAATTGTTATTTTGCATTATTTGGCATAAGCAAATGAACTTTTATTTTTTCTCAACTCAAATATTTCTATCTATAAATTTGAAATAATATTTTTATCTTTAAATTCAAAATTAAATTATTTCATCTATCAAAAAATATATTTATAGTATTTTATAGATATAGACTACCATATTAGAAAGAAACTACTCCCCAATTTGAATTGGACGTTTTTTTACAGTCATATTTAAATTATAAATTTGAATTTTAAAAAAATATAAACATATAAGTAATTTTACTATTTTGTCATAAATTTACTGATATTTTTAATAATTGTTATTTTTCATTGTTTTCCATAAGCAAATGAACTTTTATTTTATCTCAACTCAAATATATCAATCTATAAATTTAAGAAATCAAATTATTTTCTATATAAATAATATATTTATAGTATTTTATAGATATAGACTACCATATTAAGAAGAAATCATTCCCCAATTTGAATTAATAGTTTTTTTTCTTCTTATTATTTTCGTTTTTTATTTTAGAATAATTTTAGAACTACAAATTGTTAACTCAAAGAGAACAACTAATTATTAACAACACATAATGCATAATTTAAATTTTTTAAAAATTAAAATTTAAAAAACTAATTATTATCTAGCCTAACTAACTTTTTGCCTATTGTGAGGTTGCCACTTGGCTTAATGTGTAGGCTTTTTCCTTTCTTTTTAATAATATATAGATATAGATAGATATAGAAATCTAGAGGAAATATTTAAAAGGGACATACTTTTATCTTCAATTTTTTTTCTCAATTAAAATATTTTTATATTTGATTTCAAATTCATAATTTTCTATATTGATTATTTTTTTTATCTGTTACTAATTCGAATTTAATTTTTGTATCAAAATTCAAATTATTTAATTTTAATTCAGATTTTCTTGTATTTCACTTTAATATATTTATTGCATTCATTTTACTATGACATAACTATTTCGTCAAGTATTTAATCTAATAATAGAAAAAAATGCATATGCTCATATTTTATAATTCTCCAAATTCTTAAGTTTTTTTCCATCCTTGAAGTTTTATTTTCCAATTCATAAGCTTGAATTTTGATTTGTTTAGTTTTTTAATTCAAAAGATTAGATAATATTTGTGTTTATTTGGTCTAACAAAATAAATAGAGAGAATATATTAAGATTATTATTATTATTATTATTATTATTATTATTATTATTATTATTATTATTATTATTATTATTATTATTATACATACCAAAATAATATATAAATCTAAACACATATAGTTTAACGCATATGTAGTTATTTCAAGCTTCTCCTTTATTTTTTAATATAGAATATTGAGTTGTAATTTTATTTTTAAATTCTCTTTATCTATTTTTATGTGTGTAATTATCCTATAACTATTAGATCCCTGAATTCGAGGCAAAATTTAAACGTGATAAACTTTTACTTTCAACGGAAAAAGGTTTTTTCAATTCAAATTTTTTTTGTCTTTCATTTCAAATTCATAAGTTTCTATATTAGTTCTATTTTCTATATTTTACTAATTGGAATTAAATTTTTTTATCCAAATTCAAATTATTTAATTTTAATTCAAATTATCTTATCTTTTTTAATTTAATATATTTATTACATTTATTTTACAATGTAAAACTTGATTTGAACGACTTTAGAAAAGATGTGGATTTTGATTAAAGATTACTTGCGTAATTTTTTTATCCAATTTCAAATTATTTAATTCTGGTTCCGATTTTCTTATATTTCAATTTCATATATTTTATTACATTATTTTACTATGAAATTTTATATAATTATTTTTTTAGTGTTTAATAATAGACAAAAAAGCGCATATGCTCGTACTTTATTATTCGCTAAAATCTCAAGGTTTTGTTTTTTCATCCTTAAAGTTTTCTTTTCCATTTCAAAAGCTTGGATAAGAATTGATTTGTTTTGTTTTTTAATTCAAAAGCTTGGATAAGATTTGAGTTTATTTGGTCTAACAAAATAAATAGAGAGAAGATATATAGATTTTATAACTACTTTTATGATATCCGAGAATTTAAACGCAAAATTTAAAAGTGATATATTTTTATCTTTAAAAAAAATGTGAATCCAAATTCGAATTATTTAATTTTAATTCAAACTTTTTTATCTTTTAATTTAATAGCTATTGGGTAAATCTTTGTCTTACAACCTTTACATATTTTATTTTATAACTTTTGTCATATGATATTTGGCAGAAAAAGATAAATTTAGACTATATAAATTAATTGAATAAAGTTTCTGATACATAATACATAACCAACGGAATACTTTTACATAACACATCTATTACCTCATAAAAACAAATTTTTTCCTGTAAAAAAATATAAACTTTTCCTTGTGTTCAGCTATAATAGAAACTCCCAAATAACGTCTTTCTTTGTTCTGATTTACAAATGCAGGGTTTTTATTGTTTCTTGCTTTGGTCATAAAAGAGTTGTGTCTGCTAAGAAAGACTTTGGAGGACTAAAATCAAAACAGAGCCGCGAGGTGAAACTAAAATGGAAACAATTTTAATTCCATTAATCATTAAAGGGAAGAAAGTATGTGTGAGAATATAAATCAAATTTTGAATTAACTTATTTCCATTTTGCTTTCATTAATTAATCATTTCTTTTGTTCTAAATTTGCCAAGTGGCTTCTTAATAGCTAGTCATTTAGCTTAACCATAATGCAAACTTTATTCCTTTAATATATATAGATTATTATTAATTTATTATTACTATCACGCTTCAATCCGAAAGCAATTAGGATTGGCTATCTTCTCCCTTTAAAACATAAAGTTATATTTTAAGAAATATTTATGGCACACCTATATAAAGATACTCTTAACATGGTATTATATTATCCGTTTTGGCCAAACCCGCACAGTTTTCCTCAAAAGGTCTCACATCATTAAAAAATTCATACATCATATATGTAGGCTCCCAATCTTTTCAGCTACCAATGTAATACTTTGTTCACACAACCAACAATATTCTCCTCGAACTAAGATCCACGTGACCCATTACCACAATCCACGAGTCAATTTTCGAGATTCATTGTGTGCCAGCCACATCATTAGATACATATGGCAGCCGAAACTCGCAACTTGCTTCTTTTTGTGTGCACGTCTCCAAGCTAGTAAGGGTAAGTAAACTGAGTGTCGCACCATCATTCTTCCATTGCTACACTTGTTCCAAAAGGTCTCACACCAATAAGAGATGCTTACACCTATATGTAGGTTCCCAATCTTTTAAGTTATTACGCTTCTATCCCAAAGAATTTAGGGTTAGCTATATAAATTATCACTTCTCTATTTAAAATATATGTTATATTTTAAGAAAATACTTAGTTTTTCTTTACCAAAAATCTACTTACAAAATTATTTATTTATGAGGTATAATAATCTGAAAAGATTTGAATTTCGGCTTCAATTTTTTTGTTAATTGATTAAGAAATGACAACCTGGAGAAACAATTTAATCAGTTGCATCTTCATTGTTTCTAAAAGGCAGGCCATGCCTAATACATGTGAAGTGTTTCTTCTTTGGCAAAATACATATTTTACCCATCCACTTTGCACTAAATTCTTGTTACACATCTGTTGATTACGGATTTAACATTACGCACTAAACCTTTTAAAAGTGTATCAATGACACACAACTTTTGACCAACCTAGTTAATACTCAATGTTATATATACACACGCTTATGTAAATTAAAAACAAACGATTCTTTAATTAAAAATGGACAACCCGACCCAAAATTAAGATAAACCCCAATTTACAAGTTTTAAAAAGTAGAATAAAGTAGCTATGTGTCTTCCTCAACACCCCCACCCCCTGGGTTTATCCTCTTCCCCAATCCTACCTTCACGCTGGCTCCTCCTCCGGTATCACTTGTACGTCGGCTTCCTTCAACCCACCCTCCATCCCTATTATCTTCCCAATAATTTTCAGATCCACCGGTGGCCATAAAACTTATTTCCATCGCTGGAGCAGGGACGAGAACAACGAAAGCTTGACCAAAGATTGGTCAGAAAAAGACTGAAAAAGATACAATTAAACACAAAATTGCACTGAAAAAAACAAAAACAATCATTCAAATAGGCTTTGATGATGGATTTCGACACTAACTTCTCTTAATCCCAAAGATGAGAACTCCTCCGACGGTCGAGAAAATCAGGCCGATAATTACTAAAAAACTACCGTTTCACCTAGAATCGGTAATTTTGTTAGGTTGATTTTGAATCAATTTTCAC